AATTGATTTTTTGCCTCATTATCCCAGACATACAGCTGGGAAAGCAGGCAAACCAGTAATGCCAATGGGCACAGACAAAAAACAGCAACAATAAAAAGCTACTCTCTCCATCCCAGGAACGACAGGAGGGGCAGCCTCGCAAGTCAGAGAACTAAACTACAAGCACCCAACTCCAGCCAAACACCACAGAAGAAACTACACATGCAGAGGCTAAAGGGAGGCTCTTTGCTTCCTCCCTCATGAAGCTATAATGCCCCCCAAACCCTCTGACAGGGTGTTTAAGAGAAGGCCAAGTAGGCAGCTGGGCCTTGATGCCCACTGGGCGCGATGAGCCCCTGCACCAGTGTAGTGGACAGTGAAAGCTGGACCTCCACCCCAACCCAGCAGTAAAAAGGCGTCTCTCCCCCTCCCCACTGAGATGCTGTCAGAGGAGGCCTAATGGACTCAGGACTCTCCCCATCCCAGGGATGGCAAGGCCGCCCCCTGGTGTTAGCAGAGGACAGGTACAGAGCCAGTATTCCCATTTCCACCCACTTCTGATTGCTTTGATCTGACAGTTAGTACAAAACTACAGTAATTGAAACAATGTAGTGCTGACATACAGACAACAGAACAGAACAGAGTGTCCAGAAAAAAGTGCAAACATCTATAACCAACTGGTTTTTTAAAAGGGTGCCAAAGCCTCAAAGAGGGAAAGAACAGTCTTTTCAACAAATGGTGCTGACTAGATAATCACATGGAGAGGAAAGAAGCGGGGCCCCTGCCTCACTCCACATACAAAAATTAACTCAAAATGGATCAACAAACTAAATACTAGAGCTAAAACTAAATTATTAGGAACATAGGGGCATAATGAACTTGGAGTTGGTGATGGATTCTTAGAAATGATACCAGAAGCACAAGCAACAAACTACAAAAAGCTAAATTACACTTCAGAGAAATTGAAAACTTTTGTGCATCAAAGGACATTATCAAGGAAGGGGGAAGATAACCTACAAGAACAGGGTAAAATATTCGCAAATCAAATATCTGATAAGAGTCTAGTATCCAGAATATATATTAAAAACTCCTACAAATCAACAACAAAAAGACAAATGGAACAACTACAAAATGGGCAAAAGACTTGAGTAGACATTTCTTTAAACACATCAATGGCCAACAAGCATAGAAAAAGATGCTTGACATCATTAATCGTTAGGGAAATACAAATCAAAACCACAATGAGATACTACTTCAAACCCTCTAGGATGGCTATAATCTAAAAACCATAAAGTGTTGGTAAGGGTGTGGAGAAATTAGAACCCTTGTAAATTGCTAATAAGAATGTAAAATGATGTAGCTGCTCTGGGAAAAAGTTTGATGGTTACTCAAGAATGTAAACATAGAATTATGACCCAGCAATTTCAATCCTAGGCATACATCCACAAGAAATGAATGAAAACATGTCAGCACAGAAACTTGCACACAATGGATAAATGGATAAGCATAGTGTGTGTGTGTGTGTGTGTATACATATATATCCAATGAAATATTAGCCTTAAAAAGGAATGTATTGCTTAACCCAACATATATGGTCAATTAATATACGATAAAGGAGCCATGGACATACAATGGGGAAATGACAGTCTCTTCAACAGATGGTGCTGGCAAAACTGGACAGCTACATGTAGGAGAATGAAACTGGACCATTGTCTAACTCCATACACAAAAGTAAATTCAAAATGGATCAAAGACCTGAATGTAAG